ATAACATGTAGATGTGCACCTCGTATTTTGGTTGCAATCGGCCGCACCAAACGTATATAAATATATTTATACATATATCCACTCTGTTACCCGGCTCAGTGATCTCAGTTTCTTTACTCTTATATGTTTGTAAATTGTACATTTTTTGCTTTAAAAATGATTGAATTATGCTGTTTTTATCTTCCGGTTAAGGTTTTTATGCCTTTAGTAAATCTGTATGCAATATTTTTAGAATTATCAACAATTTAAAGTTGTTTAAGTGCCGCTAAGCCTTTTTTTCATGGCGGCCATTAATTGTTTACATTTGAAACAGCAGACTAGTGGATTTGTTGCCAATCTAGAGAAACTTAACTTCGCAGCAACAAAGATAACGCCTTCATTTATTATTGCCAATTAAATCATGCTTAATCCTTTCTGGAATTTTTTCGAAGAAATAAATGTTTAAGATTTACTTAGTAATTTTTAATATAGATATTTTGAGTTTTTATGTATTTTTGTCTTCTCGCGAAGTGAGAACTGAATTAATTGAATGAGAAATACTCAATCGTCTGTGAAAAACTTTTTTTTTTTTTTTTTTTTTGTTTTGTTTTGTTTGCTTACTTTGCTTACATCGTTCTAGCTTTATTATAGTATTTGAATAGAACATGTGGCAACGATTAGATAACTTTATTCTTTAAATGATATAAATTTTGTGCATTATGAGTTATAATATGAACGAAATATAATACTATCAAGTAAATCTAGCACCAGAGTGTAGCTATGGTAAACAAGAATTTCAAAGAATGCATTTATTCTATTGTGGCTTATGCGCTGTCGGCGAAGTAGATTTAATTCAATCCAATAAGTTTAAATCAAATGCAAGAAAAAATGCGTATAATTTAATATTCCGTACAAGGAAGTCATGTGGTGTACACATCAGATTTTTTTTGTCCGTTTAGAGATAAAACTTCCAAAAACAGTCTAAGAATATAAATACTATCGAAAACATCATACACTATCTTCGTAAAGATTAAATATTGTAATTAATCTATAGAAAACATTAGGATTTTTTAAAGCAGAAGACGTGAAAAATGAGCAATGCCCTCGCCAGGACTCGAACCACGGACCTCTCAAATACGCGCCGAGTGTGCTGATCCCGAAGGCATGTTAAGAAGGTGTGAGAAATACCTTATATACTCCCCCTTTTAAAGGGCAACTGGGGTTTAGGGGACCCAATCGCCAAATCCCGTTGGTGAAGAATCATCATTCACCACCTTTTAGTTCGGGCGCCAGTGTGGAGACATTAGGTTATTTCAAGCTAGAGAGATAAAAAAAGGAGTAATGCCCTTGCCGGGACTCGAACCACGGACCTCTCGAATACGCGCCGATTGTGCTTACCACTACACCACGAAGGCATATTAAGTACTAAGAAGGCGGGAGAAATACCTTATAAGTTTACTACGATAAAAGGATTCTACGTCTATCTTTATCTAAGAGAAGAGATGTTTTCATGGAGAAATTTCTTAAGAAAACTAGCTTGTATTAAAAACTACAAAAATTATATGAGTTAGCCCGTTCTACTGCTAGGAATCAAACTGGGACGCGCTATTACTATTGAGCGTATCCACTCATAATGGTAAGTTTAGTAACAGCGCTGGATTTACCTGTGTATATATGATGCCTTTCGTGTATAGACATATCCATTCAAAACAAGCCCGGAAACCAATTTAGCTTAGATCGTTGTATAGAGTAATTTAGATTTTAAAATGTTTAGAATTTGTGAAAAGTAGTCAATCCTTCCGCTCACATAAAATGCACTTTTTGTGTTTTAATTCTTTACGTAACTTCAGTCTTTATTTATATATTTAGGGCAATTACACATTTGTTCACTACGTTTTCGACGCATGCATTCTTATGAAGTGTTTGAGTGATCTTTTTACCGTTCATAAAAGAAATACCATTGCTTCAAAAAGTATATTCACTCTGACAAAATATCCCCCCCAACCAGTGACTGAGTGGTTAAGACCTCTAAATACGAGGAGATCGACTGGGTTAGATCCCAGGCGAACGTGCTGGCTGCATGGTTGGCTTTAGTGGCCTTCCCTAAGTGTGACATGAAAACGAGCCCGGTTCGGTTCACTTCGAAAGTCCTCCACAAAGGCATCTCTCGCCTTAGGCAAATAGCCTTCGGATGCTTTGCCATATTCCAATAATCTTTCCTAAATTGACAAATATCGTATGGTTCGTGACTTGCCACTAAAAAACACAAACCACTTTTTTTTCCAACCCCTGAAATTTCATCCTTGTTTAAGAGCCTCTGATTTAGATGCTCATGGCTGCTTAACTAATAAGAATTCAAGCAAAGTTTCATATAAATCCACCAATCTCATTTTAAAAGTTTAATCCACAATTTAAAGATCCGAGAATTAGTTTAACATCGTATGAATTCACATGCAGTCTGCAAAATTTTATATTATACTTTTGGGGATTGTCAGTTTCAAAACGTATGATTCGGGATGTTTTGACTTCTGCGGTGGAATTTACTTTCGCGATTCCTTTCCACCGAATGGCTGTTTCTTGTCACCCTCGAGAGTTTTTATTTATGTGAATACTTTTTCAACACGCATTTGTTGCCATTTCCGTTAGGCGGTGCTGTACGACATAACAGGAAACATCAACTCTTTACACTCAATCAAGTTTGGGGGTATCCCTCCAAAACAAATAACGTAAAAACTTCCGGCGTCTTGAAACGTGTAATGAGTCTCATGCAATCAGTCTTGTAAGATTACTTTTTTAAGCTCGTTCTCTTCTGCTCTAGTTTAACCTCGTAAATGATTTGTAACTTAGAATGCAAGGCTGATGGCTCTTCTAGATATAATCCTTCTTAGAGTTAGGTCCTTTAAAAGGAGTTGTTCCGGAAAGTTGTTTTTCTTGAGAATGTGAAGACATCCTATGCATTAATTTGTTCCTTCCTGTCTTTGTATTTCTTTCTCTCCCCTCCTCTTTCCTTTACTCGAATAGAGAGTTTAACGGTATCGAAACAATCCTTTATTCATAACTAGAAACGATTCTTCTTAATGATTTGTTCTCTGCTTGTCGTGGGTGTAACCGGGACATGTCTTTATAAGAGCAAATGTTATTATTATTTTTTTCGTAAAACTTTAGTGCCATTTTAGGACTCTTCACAAGCAACCGTAAAATCCAAAATTCTTTTCAGAAGTAACTGTACTCTTTGAGAAATATGTTGCACTAAACTACTGTGTAATCTACTCATTTGTGGACATTCTTTGTAGCACTCAAATTTATTTAGAGTTCTACACATTTTGTTACAATGAAATCATTGTATCTTTCGAATCATTGTATAATCCGCTTAGCAGTGTAATATCCGAGCAAAATTAATCCTCCTTAAAAGCTAGAATACTTAAGAACTGTGTGGCGACTTATCGTAGAGTTCTATTCACTGAGAGTCTAAAGAAGAGTTAAATTTACTCTTTTTTCCAACTCAAAAAAATGAACAGATGGCCCCTTCTCGGGCTTGCTTTAAGCCTACAGTTGGGCTTTAACTCAAAATAGAAAACAAGAAACTGATCTAAATACTGACTCAAATAAAATCATCCGAATCTGCAGAGAATTAACTAACAGAGTTGACCCTTATTAAGATCACCGGCGAAATCTAACAGGCACGTAACAATACGGCCTAATAGGTTAGACTAGCCCAGGCAATCTGGAAGGCAGATACCCGCTTCTAAGCTCTTCTTGTGCTGTGACCTATATTTCAGTTTAAATACTTATTTTACTTGTCTTTTACATAAAACCGTAATCCTTAAAATTGATTCTGATAGGGAGACCTAGGTGGAAAATAAGAAAGTAAATGAAAGGTTTGTTCCAAAATAAAAAAAAACTATTAGAAAATTAAAATAAACCCCGCAACAGTGTTTCTACTCCATCATCTTTTCACTGCATATTACAAACCTATCGCATCTGTGCATGAAATGTATCATGAATTTAAATCTATCCCATCATGAGACGTATCCTTGTACCCGTATATGTAGCTCAGTAATACCATGTGATTTGCCATCCGATCCCTTGTTTTATAGATAGATAAATTGCTAATGGCAAGACGGTTTGCTGCAATGGAGGAGCTGCTCATCCAGTAAATGTTATACTGCTACTCTTTGGGTTATTACTGGGAATGTTGAACTTTTACTACTTGGGCTATATTTGGGTTATATATATTATTCAGTTTATGAATTTTACTTTTAAACCATTTGAATCGCGAAAAAGTGGGAAATTTATTTATTAATCATCTTATTTATACGTTATTCTTATTATGATTCTGCCATCTTGCACTGACTCTTTTCGAATGCTTTAAAATCATATCTTATTAGAAATTCAAATCCGAATTTTATTTCTGAATTTTATTATGAATTTATAATGAACGATTAAAATTTTCTTTTCTTTCTTCAATTGCTTCTTCCTCCATTATTCCGAGTATCTTCCAGTTAATTGCAAACGGTCCCATATTAGTCAATAGAAGTGTTGATGTAGTTCATTCCAATTTTTTTGTTTACCTAAGAGATAGAGTGTAGCGTAAAAAAAAGAGAAAGAGCCAGTGTAAAGAAGGAAGGATGTTAAAAAGCAATAGAAGTTTATTGTTTAATTTTCGTTTCCAGTGCATGTTAATATATCACATTTATTACGGTGCAATTATTTTAGGTAATTCTGGGAGCTGCATTAACTTTCTTCCGCAAAACCGCTAATTAAGTAACTAATTATAAGATCCTTTTCTATAAATGCAAACATTGCTTGAATACTTTAACAACATGCAATGAGCTATTCTTGGACGTGGTCATTCTTCCTGTATTACAAATCCTAACGATTTCCTTTTAAGGATAACTTTTTTGTGACTGAAATTTCTTTCTTCCAAGAAATTGCAACAGAAGAATGAACTAATATATTACAATGTTTTCCATTATATTTATTTATATGCATAATTTTAAATATTTATTTTTTTTAATTAGGTAATGGGAGGCCCCCTCAGGAGTTCGCCATTGAGCCCGCAGATCGAACAGCAATCGTAGGCAAGGCAGCAGTCCTGCCGTGCCGAGTCCTCAACAAAGTCGGCACATTGCAGTGGACTCGAGATGCTTTCGGGCTCGGGTCGGACCGAGAGTTGAAGGGCTTTCCCAGGTACACCATGATCGGCAGCGACGACGAAGGTGAGTTGAATACATATTAAAAGAAATCTTTAGCAACTGTTTAAAACTTCATAATTTTTACGCACATGGCTTAATACCTCGCTTATTTTTTTAGCTTATTTTCTAGCCTCCAAATTTCCTTTCTTTGCTCACTAGGAAGCCTATAGAAATGCAAGACATTAGAAAGAATGTAATCATAAAATGATATACGTAGAGTACCAAATTTTACCCTTGAAATGTGTAACAATAATATATTGCTGATCAAATGGGCCTTTTTGCCTTTGCGTCTCGTTTTATATTTTAAAACATGTAAGAAAGCTAATGCTATTAAATTTACTGTTTTTGTTACTTTTAAAATAATTTCCTGTGAAATATACACATAGTAGGGTAGTCTAATAAGAAAAGAAATCCATCGTCGTATCGCTGTGCACTTATAATGATATACATATTCTAACTGGTTCAACTAGATGTCACAAATTTATGAAAATAAATATGTATTTTATGAAATCGTGAAATCAAAATTTGTGATATCTGTACAGAAATATTTGACTCGTTTCGAATTTGAAGTCACGTCTAACAAATTATTAATTCAAAAAATTAATAATTTGTATCTAAAATGTAGAACTTCCTTAGAGCATGTGTTATACAGTGTACTCTGTATTATCGAGGGTGCCGAGTACTCGTACGTGGTGGTGCCCGCTCATGCACATTCATGGGCGTATAAATTCATGGGCGTGCACATTCACGGGTGTGTAATTCATAGGCGTGTAAAAAACAAACACGCACAAATCCGAGCATAGAGAAAGGTTCGTCCTACTCTAGAAATCGAAGATTTATCTAATTGTTAAGAAGTCTAACTAGTAACTGAAGAAATACGCGAAAATAATCCTGAATGTGAAATTTTTCGAAAATATCGATTCGGAAAACATCGATGGCGATTCGACGTTCAGTGCTTGAGTGATGCGGATATCGTTTCAAATGTCACAAGAACACAAGAAGCAGAGAGTGATATTGAAGAAGATACTGACAGTTACGTTGGTGTTGCGACAGCAGAAAATTCTTTTGGAATTCTGTTGGACTTGGTCGACCAAAGGAGAATCGAATAAAATGATAAAATAGCATTTGGAGAAATACACAGTTAAATTCGACAAATATTTAAGCGTTCTCAAACACAATATAAAATTACTGATATTTTAATAAATAAACACATACAATATGCATGAAAATTGATAGTATATATTATCCATGTTTTTCAATTAACTGTTACCTGCTTCCCCAGCATTCGCCGGATAATAGAGAAAACATGCATTAGTGTCATGAAATGTTATGGCAATATTTTGCATCCTAATTTTGATAGCTTTTTATTCTTTTTTCTTCGAAATAAATGTTTTTAGATAGTAAATTCAAAGCAATCAGAGAAATATAATGCTTCTGTTCAAATTCAAAAAAATTTCAAGTGCCTGAAATTTGGAAGTTTGATGGAGAGTTTTATTTTCATTTCAACACCAAATATAATTTAATATTAATCTCGAAAAGGTCTGATATATTTAATGATTATAAACATTCAGGTCTAGAGAGTTAGCAACACGTTTTTTCATTCCCCTTCAATGATACTACTGATGTACTATTACAAACGTTTATGCTAGCTGATTGAAGTTATTTCTTGTATATAAATATCTTTATGAAATGCCATGGAATTTCCTAATACGTGTATCTTCGATTATCGAGAACACGTCGCTGATTTTCAGCAGTAGTCCGTTTCTGAGATTAAAATATTAACGTCTCTGTTGGTGCAATGTAACCAGAAATCCAAACGTGAAATGTGATCTCTCCGCAACTCCAAAATCTAAATCTACAGTCAATCCAAATTGTATCTATTATCTGTCTACTTCGTTTGACGAAGTGTCGCGTATCTTCAAGCTGAAACAAAATAGCGTACGTTTCCAGACGTTAGATGTAAAGTGTATGTTTCTCCTGGGCTGGTTTGAAACTGAACAGCCCGCCTCTGACGCCTTTTTTCCCTTTGCACTTGAGAGTCATGCATAATTTTGTTTCCCTGCGCTGTCTGACATCCTGAAGTGCAACTGAGACTGTTGTCCCTATCATGTTAGTTTATGAGGTTGCTTAGTTAAATGATGTTCATAAGACGATGCTTGTCTGTTTGTGTTTGTGTAAAGCTGCATCAGTGTTCTGTTTTTCTCAGTCTGGTATTTCTGTACAGGCTGCGCATCTGTTTTCCATTTACTTTTGAAGTAATGTTTGTTTTAGACCTTGCCGAGCAGCCAACCACTCGGTACGTTAGAATGTAGTTCGTGATACATGTGTGCTGTTTAACTGAACAAAGCAGTTATGAATACATACCATATTAATTCATGTAGCAAAGTTATCAAAGAAACCTCTTCACGCTCAGCTGTTTCTAATGTATCGAATAAAATATTTTACTGGATTAAAATATTCTGAAGCAAATTAAAGAATGAAATTGCAAAGCAACTAATGATAGGATTACGCTCAAAACATTGTTTTCATTTCGTGTAGACATGTAGACATTAAAGCTCTCTAAAGATCAAAACGTTCTTTAAAACGTGTGTAGCAAAGAAGGAAACTTTAAACTAACTTAATTGTTTTTAAATTTGAAATTAAAATATTTCACTAAATAATGTCATTTCATAAAAGTTGTAAAAGATTTTTTTTTAATGCATCCTGCAGTTTCCCGAATGAAAAAAAAAAAAAAAAAAGGAATGATAGTATAACACAGTTAAGTATTTTCAAACGAAAAACCAACAGTGTGAATTAAATCCTGGAAAAATGTAGTAATAAATGTTCACTTATTTTATAATTTCATGTTAATAGATTTTATTCAGTGAACTTGAGTTAGCAGAACAGCACAGCGTAACAAAATAGTAACGTTGCGAAATGCCCAGATTCAGTGAGATAGTTTCACCGCAAAGCGAGTTTTGGGTTGCCAGAAAGTGGCAGGGAAAGGCAAGATTGCCAGATTTGGTGCGAAATCGCCCATTTGATGAAATATGGCGATATGCCATAGTCGAAGCGAGAACGTTCTAGAACGCGTTCTTAGCGTTTTTCTCCAGGAATGTTCTCGAAGGTAGGTTAAAGCTATATATACCCTGCCTTTACCCGGAGTACTAGTGTAGTAGAGTATGTTGAGTTCAGTAGTAGTGTAGTGTTTTAAGTTCAGAGCGACCGAACAAAGCCGGAAGCTGTATTTTAATGTTTTGCTGTGAAGCGGTCTTCACCGTTGTAGTCTGGGTTGCTGATTGTTTCAGCGTGTTTAACTTAGTTTTTCGATGACTCTAAACGTGTCTTTGGAACTCTCCTGTGTAGTACTCGCCAATTAATTTGTGTTTTGATTCTTCATCAAGTGTTATCGTCAATTATTCTATAAGGTATTTCTTCCGCCTTCTTAGCATGCTTTCATAGTGAAGTGGTCTGCACGCTGGACGCGTATTCCAGAGATCCGTGGTTCGTTTCCCAGAGAGGGCGTTGCTGATTTTTCATAACTCCAGTTTCAAAAATACTTAATGTCTCTACAACTCCAAATCCACAAAACCCGTAGAACGCAACAATAATAATTTTTTTGCAACTCTGTGAGATTATCATATTTTTTAAAAGTTCATAAAATATTTTAAAATGTTAACGAAACCTCATTAATTTCAAAGGGCAAGTTTTCGGTTTATGTTCTTTTTTTACGATATATTTGGCGATTTGATTTACATATTTCCACTATTTTAACAACTTGGGGAAAAAGCCATGCTAAAGGAAATGAGATTTAGTGATTAATTCGAGTGACATCTTTTATGTTGCTTGTGTAATTATGGAAAATCACGCTAGGCATTAGTAATATGAAAGACAAACCTTATATAGCTGTTTTTTATTTCATACATCACTTAGCATTCTGCGTTTGTAAACTTCAAGAATACATGCATTCTGAATGAAGTGAATCATTTTGAATAACCTTGTGTTACTTACGCCTCTTTTCTGACATTAAAACACACACATATACAATATAAGTATTCTAAATATTTGAGTCAAAATGCTATTTTAATGAAGGAGTTAAAATGTATTTCATAAAGACAATTTTAAATCCTATCACAATTACTTATGAGTATGATAGTCTTCAGTATTATATTATTAAAACAGGCCTCCGATTCCATCTAAGATTGTAACCTTAGCTAGTATAATATTGCAATTATGATTATGTACCAACATTATATTGTAATCTTGAGTGCCATTTATTAGATGGCACCTATGGAGTCGATTATCTGAATATTTGGAAAATCTAATTCAGCAATAAGATACAATCAGGTTAAATTAAATAAGGGTTTAACACAATTAAGACGTCCCATTTAAGACAGATTGAGGCTTTACACTCGGCGTTTCTTCGGGCCGACCAATACTTACACTCTTTTTAATTGGATGAACATATTTTGAATAGTTATTACAGAGTTGTGATGTTGTTAAAGTCTTTTTTCAGTCTCAATTTTTTTAAGACTTTAACGGCTCCAAAACTGGGACATTAGGTTGGGATCATACACAAAGTTTTGAATATTTGTTCTATATGTTAGCAACAAAAAGTGTTACTGTTTTCTTCATCATACAAATAATAATCATACTGAAAAAAATTTTAAAAAGAAATCTGAAAGCTTTCAAATTTTATAGCACGCCCAAAGGGGCGTTTTTTAACCTTTTTTTTTTTTTTTGGTTATCTTTATTTATTAAATGACATGTATTAAACCATAAAATTCAATTCAACAGTAATATCGCAAAATAATTTTAAAATAGCATATCTTTAAAATTTCCGATACACAGTCTCGCGCGCGGGTGTTAATTACCCCCCCCCCCGTTTAATGTTGCCATTGCTCGCTTTGAAATCGTTGAGTTTCTCAACCAAAAATTCGTTCGTTACAAAATATGAAATAGATAATAAAACAAATTCCAAATTTGGGCTTCCAGATGTCCATATTCGAGTGAAGGACTATTTTATTCAAAATTTTATTACTCTA